TGCAATCCTTATGGGTTCACCCGTGTTTTTTTTTTCTGGATGATCACGTACAAGATACGTCTGTGATCATTGCTTGTATGTTTCGGGTGCTTGTTTTCAGTACTGTATCGGGAGCACGTCGCTTTCAGCAAATCTCTCTACAATATACATGATCTTATCACAAAAAATATGTCTAGTAATGTTTATGAAAGGTCTTCATCATTGCAAATAACTTATTAACATCATTGTCTTTCGGTAACCTTGGCCTCTTCCCTTGCTCTCTCTGTTAGATTCTTTAGTGCCAGATATAATGCGACAATGAGAGAGAGGGGAAAATAAGAGAAAGGAAATTTAGTTCGAAAAACGTGACTTAAAACGGTGTGTTTAGATTCTGTAGTGATTAACCTAAGGTGATTCCCTCAGCTTACACTGCCAGCTGCTCGTTATATTTTAACCAAAAGCCATTCCTGTTGCATGACTGGTTCGCTTCATCTGCGTTTAATACTTCTACGTTCCCCGAAGACCAAACTCCAGTAATAAATGGTAAACGTCTTTGCTGATGATGTTTTACCGACAGCTTACCGCGCAGTTTCTGTTTTTCGAATTTAACCGTTCTCGCTCGCATCAGCCGGGAGCGCTAGGAGGTCGAAGCCCCAGAAAGATTAGCGGAAGATCCGTCTTTAAGATCACACAGCATGTCACTGTCTTTATCCTGAGGTTTGATGCTTTTCAAAACCTTCTTCTTTCTCATTAGGTCACGCCACAGGGATTTGGACGCGTCTCATGACCGCATGAAGGGGGGAAGGCATGCGAATGGCCGCCAGGGAAGGATTACTGACGGCCATGTTGAATAAGTTCTTAATGATTCTGTAAGAACATAATATCCCATATGAATTGTGGTTGTGCCGTGATGAACAAAAGACAAAGGGAGAAGGAGGCGGACTTGTGCACTCGGCCCGAGAAAAGCCTGTGCCATGGAACACGAATCGGTGTCAGGTGGGATAGGGGGCGCATGTACACACACATTTGTATGTGTGTGTGTATGTATGTATTAATGTCTGTTTACATTCATAAACGCTGCATTAGTATTTATATGCACATACATACACCCCCCCCCCACGCACATATATATGTGTGTGTGTGTGTGTGTGTGTGTGTGTGTGTGTGTTCTTACCTAGTTGTTTTAAACGGGAGAAGTGCTAAGCTCACATACCACACACACACACACACACACACACACATACACACACACACACACAACACACACACACACACACACACACACACACAACACACACACACACACAACATATATATATATATATATATATATATATATATATTATATATATGTATGTATGTATGTATGTGTGCGTGTATATATATATATATTATATATAATATATATATATATATATATATATATATATACATATATATATATTATATATATATATATATATTATATAAACGGAGGGACTTCTCACATCTACTCAGCGTCGCTCACATTGCTAGGCATGTGAATCCAAAGTTTATTTATAATTTAGATAAGAATCATTTTATTCACGTGGACATGTCTTTAACGGGACCATTCGGGGCCACCGAGGAGATGACGAGGAAAGTTCGAGAAGAATGCCATAGTCGCCCTAAGCCTATGCGGTGGGCGTGCTCTTCCTGGGACGAAGGGCAATGACATCGGGCTCACGTCAACCTCGGACTTTTATGTAAATCGACCAGATTCGTTTCCCGGTCCTCGGCAATCGGCCGTTTTCTGCTCTAAATAATAAGAACAGTTACCTTGAAGTGCTTTAGAATAAACCAATGCCTATGATTTATCAAAGAAACACGAATGTCTCTTACCCGTTTATTAATAAAAAAAATAAAATAAAAACAAACAGACACGAGTTATGCAATATATAAAGGTACCAACTTAATAATGATAATCTTGAATTACATATCTTAGTTTGACAAATTAGTCAGATTAAGATATAGGTTAGAAAGGGGGTTGCTGGCGATGACTAAGATTTTGAGACAAAATTATTTCAAAATGTGTTCATGTCCTTTTTCTTATGAAAGAGAATTTGTTAAAGATCATATAAAATGGTGCATAATTTATCCTCAAATTAAGATATTAGAATCCTGGTTGTTTACATTAATTTTTCTCTATCAGTATCAGTACTTGAGGTCTGTTCCGATTATGTTAATCTACATCTACACTTGTGCTTACGTGTGCCTTTGCCCAGGATCTGCCGGTAGATCTTGCGTCTGGGTATGACTGTCTGAAACCCAAAGGACTTATTCTCGAGTGCGTGTGTTCTTGGTGTGTTCTTGGCGTTCAGACACAAGAACGCGCGTGCTTGGGCGTATGTTTTGTCACGCAGGGAAGTTATCTGCTAAATCATGTAAGCAAATCTGAGCATTTTCTGTTCCAGCCTCCTTTTTTCTCCTTCCCTTTATTTAGCGACCCGGATAAAGGACCTAATAAGCGACCTCTCTTGTGGTCCATGCAAGGTTGTGGGATTCCCTCCCCGTGGTCTTGTGCATACCGGACAAGTAGAGTAATAGGAAACGGATGTTAAATCTTACTAAAAAAAAATGGACTGAGATAGTGTTACAGGACTCCAGTGAAGGTCGATATACTCCCTTTTACACAGAAATGAATGCTATTTTGAACTCTGTCGCATTAATCCAACTCAAAATCGGAATATCCCAATAGACTTTTTTTCTACATAGATATACAAATAAAAGACCCTTCTTTAATTCCCCGGTATTCAAGAGGTTCTTGAAGTTTTCAGAAATTGCTTATCATAATAGGGAAATATTTAGTTGTGGTGAGTTAAGAAAGTTGCGAGTGGGAACAGTGATATAATAAATATGAAAATAGTCAAAATAATAATAGCAATAGGGATAATAATCTGGCCGAGAATGAGAAGGGTTTATGTTCAAAACTGGTACTTATAGAAAGGCAAATGATTCTATCTTAAATGTAAAATCCGACTTTATGTGTTGTTTTTTGTAGTGAACACTACTGGAAGTTTGATTAATGAAGAAGTCTGTATCAAATTAGGAAGCCAATGCTGTGTCTATAAGCTTATACAATTGCTGAAGAAAAACCTCGGCTCAAAGTAATCGATCAATACCCAAGAAAAGTTTATTTCTTTATTTGTCTATAATAATCATTACATACCGTCACAAAATCAATGAACACTGACATCTTGACCAAATTACGGCAAGAACTAATTTAAACGAAAGACGCCAAAATATATCCTATAAATTTTATTTTTAGATCATGGAGAATAATCCAAATTCACGTCGGGGTCAAAACAAGGCCATTGACACTCGAAAAAAGGGTTGGGGCAAGAGGTCAAGATGCATGGGTAAGTGGTGAAGGGAGGAGCTATAAGCCTAGAGAGGGTTAGGGAAGCAGGAAACACGAGAGATGGAGGGCGAAAGGGATTAGGCAAGCTGGAGGGAGGGGAGGTCGCCGACAACAGGGAAAGGGAGGCTAAGTAGGGTAGAGAGATACGAAGATCGGGAAAATCGGGGGAAGAAGGAAGAAATGGACCTTAAGGAGATACGAGGGAGAGGTAGGGAAGATGGGAGAGTGGGGAGGAGACGAGGGGCAAAATGGTAAAGAGAAACAAGGGAAAGGGAGGGTTGGGGAGAAAGCTGGGACGCCACAACTGGGGAATACTGCTTGTGACTTCATTTCCTTCTTCTAAATTCGCGAGGAGTTAAAAGACGTTGTTTTTGTAATAAGAGATGAAAAGGGCCAGTTTCTTCTTTGGTCCTTCTAAATTTCGAGGAAAATAAAAAAATGGGACAGATAGATACTGTCAGAAGCCGTAGCACTAGAATTCGGACAGGGTGCCATTCCCTTTTAACATTAAAAGCTTTTACACTATTATAGATTATTTTTTTTGGCTAATCTCGAAATTCGCCGTTTCATGCATACTTTTTTAATACTTAGCTGTACAAAATGTTGACAGGTTACTAGGAATACTTCAAACCTTTTGACATGTATAATCAGTGTTTTTATGTCTGCATAATATAATCGAATCACTATTCAGCTTATAAACATAAAAAAGAAATGGAAGTGAAAATACTGAAATGAAATGATAAGTAAGAGGCTTCCCCTGCCTTGCAGAAGCCCCGAGCGAGAAAATAGCGACTAAAATGGGCGTGAAGGGAAATAGTCTTTAGGGGATGACTTTACCTTCACCTCACGCAATTAACGGTGACAAATTAGACACCACTGAAGCAATGCTAGAGAGGAGCTTTTAGTCAGCATCTACCCTGGATAGAAGATAGTATAGGTATCACCGACGGTAAGACACAAGGATAGTGGTCTCCAGATAAAAGAATTGTCTAAGATTTTGCTGTAACACTATAAAAAATGATGAAAAATAACGATGGAATGGCGGCAGCGCAGGTAGCCAATGGGAAGCCAGGAAAGCTCCGCCCAACTCTTGGTTTTCCGTCTCTGAGGTATCGCTTTTATCTTAATTATGTAATTATCCGCAGATTTAATTTGTTCTTTTAAAGTCTGTTCAATTAGCGTACGTAAATCTGACACTGGAATTAGAATATCTTCGTACATATGTCTGTTTAAGCTCATTCACGTTCACTGATGTACAGC